AAGTCTTGCAGCAATTCTAATCCCAAGTGAGCTCATTCTCAGAAGAGTTAATAGAGCCCTCCATTAACACAACTTGGGGATTGCCAGAGTTGAGGGGAGGTTTCACTGAACAATGACCATACAGCAAAATGAGCCCACTCAGCATCAGCATCGCAGCAGAACATAGATTATTAGCTACTAATTACACTTAACTATGTCATTACAAATTCTAACATGTGCTCCAAGATGCCATGAACGTATCTGCTGCACAGGAACACTTCCTAATCTTGTTCATGAAATAATTACAGGGGCACTATCCTGCCAAATGAGGCAGTAATTAACCCTAATTGCTCAAAATGCAACTGGCTAATTCTAGGAGATTAATCAAGGGGATTCAATTATTATTAAATGACTTAATATGACAAATTGCTGCATTAGGAGAGGGGGCTTTGCTCCATTGCACGGTCCTTTCCCAGCAGCGCTGCCCAGGATACAGGCACAGTTGCATTCTGTGTGCAGGCAACTCCCTGTCTTTGCAAAGCCCACCCTGGGCAGGGTCAGAGCCTTCCCAACCACCAGCTCCTGTTCAGGGAACCCGGATCAGCCCTGGAGTGCTCGTTGGGAATGTCAAATGCACAGCCCCAGCGCCCTCCCCGCAGTGCCATGGGCACAGCGCTCCTCTATCTGCCAGCCTTGCTCCTCAAAACAACACCCAGGTAACACTGAACTGTTCTGGTAAACACACAAACAGGAGGGAAAAGGCAAAATCCAAGTTTCCCCATGACACAGCATGCAGGTTCATCCCGGGTTTAGCCCCCCTCTGCAGAGAGATGAGCTGCTACACTGAAGCTTTATAATGGTGGAGACAAAACACATTGTGGGATGGATTCCAGACCCACAGAGAGCCCACAGTCCCATGTAGGATGAGCTTTTCGTTTGATAATTACCCCTTTGGCATTTATTACTAAACTATAAAAAGAGATAAAATACATTTATTCACTTACACAGTCATCTGCTTTACTTTGGCTTTTTCTTCAAAGAATCAAAGACAAGAGAAAGCCAACACAGTACACTGTTTTCATAAAGATGATTTTAAAATACATGCTCTAAGCAAAAATCAAACTATTTCCTTTTTCTCTTATTATCATCAAAAAACCCGGGTTCAGGAAGCTCTGGCTGGCTGGCAGAATCCCAAACTGGATACACCCTAAATCTGCTGTAACTGCACTAAAAATAAAGGAGAGGGGTAAAAATGAGGCTAAATGCTAATAAATCTACGGACCTTTATGGAAGGAAGGGAAGAAAACACAGGAGGAGAAAGCCTGGAGACACACACACTCACCTGAGGGTCATGCTGGAATTCCTGCCCCGGCAGCTTGCACAGAGGGTTGTTCTGGTCCCCTAGATGATGTGGGTGGTTGTGCTGCCCTTCCATGGTATCATACCAAACTGTGCCTCACAGTTCTGCTGCAGGGAAACAGAGGGGACAGAGAGGTCTCATCACTGCCCGTCCGGAGCTGAAAGCAGGAAACTCTTCCCTGGGCCTGCCTACAGGTGGTTATTCAGAGCAGCAAGAGCAGAGTCCTCCCCTCCCTCCCAGTAACTCACACACCTCTCAGAGGAAGAGTCACCCTCACCTCCCCAGGGCTATGCCTCTTAATATCAACGTTGAAGAGTCCTATGAACTTCCTACCTTATATTACATTGCTAGGATTATTCTAATTATTTTATTATTCAGGATTTGGAGAAGGGCTGTTCACTTGGGGGGATAATGTACCACGTATTCTCTCTCTTGCAAGCCCACAGGCACAGAGCAAACCCTGCAGGGCACTGCCACCTGGCTCCTCAGCACAGAGCTCCACAGGAATCCAGACACTTCCCTTCACAGCCCCACCTTGAAGGCACGCCCAGACAGTGCTGGGTGAAGTGTGAACACTCCAACTGTGCATCCGCTGTGTCCTGCCTTGGAAAGGGCTGGAGCTCCAAACAAGGACAGGGATTCACTTCTGAGTGTGGGAACCTGAGTCACCTGATCACCCATGAGTCTGGGACATTCCTCACAGAACCACGACTCTCTGTAACTCTCCAGCTGCCACGAGGAAGCTCAAGGTACAGTTCCTTACTGTGGGGCCTGGACAGCTCAGGAGATCCCACGTGCCACGAGGGGTACGGGAATGGGGCAGGATTTGGGATGGGGCACTGTTTGTTTAAAGCCCTAACCCAGCCCAGCTGGAGGCAGAGGAAGGAGGAGGAACAGAAGAGCAGCTTTGGAAAGAGATCCAGCCCAGCTCACATGACACAGCCCTGACACCTCCAGGACAGCGTGTCCTGCTCCAGGCTGGCAGCTCGGCTATTCTGGGCTGCTGGCACAGCAAGGGGAGAGCGAAGGGGGATCCCCAGCAAGGGGCTTCACAGAAGGTCTTCAAATAGCAGCCACCAAACACCACAGAGACACTTCATTATGTCAAAAAAGGTACAAGGTATACACTCTTAACACTGGCACATTTTCATTTACATTGTCCTAGCCCTGCACTTTTCCTTCTCAAGTGACAGGCTCTTTTATTCGTGCTTCTGAATTTCCTACGAAGCTTGGCAGAGCCAAACATTTTCAGACTGAGGCTTGACCATGACTGTAAATTAAAACATTTTTAAAATGGCAGGAAGCATTACATGTCTTTCCAGAAAGCAAATAAAAGGACAGGGCCATCATCATGGGAAGTATGACCAAAGCCCCTGTGGGATGAGCAGCTTCTCTCAAACTACTGCCACTCTTCTGCAGTGCAGTTATTACTGCACTCAGAGCAGCGTTCCCAGGTAACCTGGAGCTCTTCCAAAGCCAAGGAAAACAAAACCCCTCTCACGCAGCCAGCTCCCCTGCCATATCCCAGGCTGCAATTCCTCTCTGGATACCTGAGTGTCCCACCCTCCCCCCATCCCGTCCATCTGACGCCTCATCAGCAGAAAGCAAACCACAACCCCCCCCAGCCCGTGGTACCTTGCAGGTACGTGGCAGGTGGGATTCTCAGGGCAGAACAGCCCAGGGCACTCGGGAGCAAAGGCCAGGATCATTAGTTACGAGACACTCATTAAGGAGCAGAACCTCATCAGCATCTTGGCATCCAGTCTGGCCCGCGCCGTGCCCCGGGTGCCGCTCCTCGGTGGAACAGCTGTGCCCAGGCTGGCTGGCTATCACCATGTGTCTCGGGATGCCTCCAACTGCACTGCAGGCCAAATGATTTGCTCCCAGATGTATAATCAACATGACAGGACCGTGCACCTCTCAAGCAGGCGGCAAAGCAGCAGTTTGTGCTCAGTGTTACAACCGTTTTCTGTACCAGCACTTTTCACCTCCTGCAAGACACACCAGCTGCTCTGTGTGCCCGGCACTCAGCTCTGCTGCTGCCCACCACACACACACACACACATATATATGTGCTCTTCCACTCAGTTACTACATTCTGCTCATGCCCTCTCCCTACACAGGCACTGAGGGGGAGCCAAGCAGCTCTGTTTGGGTACCTTGAGTAAAACAAAACAAAACAGCAAGTCTTATGCAGTTCCAGAAATCCACAAGTTGTTTAAACGCAATCAAGTACATTAAACTACTGCACAAATTTCCATCTTTCAACACATACACAGAACCACCAGTGACTAAAGCCCAGCAGTGCAGCCCAAGAGCTCCCAGGTCACTCCTCCACCCACAGGGATGTGCTGCTGGTGGGAGCTCCCCCGTCCCCAGAGCCATCAGGATGCTGCTCACTGCAGGCTCTGCAGAGGCTGGAGCAGAGCAAACTGCTTTACAAAATAAACACAAACCACAGCAGTAACACTTTCTTCCTCTCCACTGCCCAATAATATTCTTCCTCTCTCTCGCTCATAAAATAAATCTGCCAGGATACTCCACGAGATTACCTATATATTTAAATGATGATGTTGGCTCATGATTACATCCTCACTGTGGTTCAGGGCACGTGCCGTGGGGAAGGCAGCCCAGTCCTAGGAGAGTATTATTTCCAAGTGACTTTTATTGTCCATTATCTTACACCATTTCTGTCACAGCCATGATGCCTGGTAGGAATAGTTCACAACAGAAATATCTTTGTCGTTAGTATTCTCACTGCAATTTAGTCAGATCAACCTTTAAATCTCATCCATCACACTGAAGAGCTCTGGCAAAGCAAGCACAGTAATATATGCTTCCATGCAAACCCTAATTACAGGCTAGGTTAAAAAGCCCACCCCGTTCCTTCTGCAGTGCAAGGTGACAGGAAATCCTGAGCATCCCTTGGTTTCTCACTCTCCCTTTTTGCTGGTGGAGTGCGTAACCCGTTCATTACAGCAGACTGATTCTGTCTGGCACATGACAAACTTACTTGAACCCAACAATTAAACTTCTGACAGCGTTTCCAAAAGCAGAGAGTATTTACTGTAAATGGCTGACAATTTTTTTCCTCTCTGCTCATCTCTCTCAACAGTCACCTTATGATGACTGGAAATTACCATAAGCAAATAGCAGTCTAACATCCAAAAAACCCCTCTTGTTAATGTGAAATACACACCTGCCAACACTGAAAGAATATGAATATGAATGTTAAAGGAAACGACACGAGGAATGGCACTGAAATGCTTGAGACAGGAGATAATGCTACAAGAGCACACTTAAAGAATTTTAATTTATATAAATATATATATATATGAGGAATTTAAATAAATAAAGAGTTAAAGAATATGAGTCAGCAAAAAAATGTTCAGCGGTTAATTAACAGCACAAACTGTTAAACAGTGTGCAGATAAATCACCAGTAAACAGCTTCAGAATTTTAGGCTTGGAATCAAGATGGAACTGCACCCCCGTTCTCACACAGACATTACTCAGGGGGAGCATGTGCCATCTGTGCCCCTGAGGAGCACGAGGGTGTTTGGAACAGACTGACCCCCAGCCAGGGCAGTGTTTCAGCCACACCTCACCTCCAGGAGGGCTGGGGTTCCCTGGCAGTGGTGCAGGCAGGTTTCTGTCAGGGCTGTGCACACCAGAGCCCAACAGCCAGGCAGGGCAGGGCTGATCCCAGAGCCTGAGCACACGAACAGAGCAGTGAGGTGGCTGAAAAGGGCTTTTCATACCATGTCAACAACTGATATTCATTAAACAAACGCTGTGACAGACACTGGAATTCACTGTTCCATACCTAGAAGCAAAATGACATTAAGTCAACTATTTAAAGCTATTTGGAGCCATCTCACTGTGGATGTCAATAAAACAAATGCTTCCTGCCAATAATCAGCTATCTGTCAGACTTCCCACGCTGCTTCCAGTCACTCCCTACACCCAGCTCAGGTCCATATTCCCATTCTAAACAAGCAAGTTAGAATTCCTAACACAGTGTCCTCTAGTTTGGGGGAAAATCTAGTAAAATGGCCTGAAAATGGCAAGGTGTGGCACAGTATTCTTCCCTCCCCAACTGCATCACACTGTCTGAAGATGCTCCTTGAGTTCACACAATACTTGGGAGAGAATGTTTCAAACGCTCATTTCTCACCACCAAACAGGAAGACAGATAGTTCACTCTAAAATCAAAATATTCTGGTTTTAAAGTTTTAATCCGAGTTAAGGGTTGGGTTTTGTTTGGAGGCATTTCTTCTGTGTTGTAGTATCAGCTCCCCACAACCTGGTCCTAAATGAAGACATAACTGTCTGTGTGAGTCTCCTGAATCCACTTCAGATGCTCTGCAGCTCGATCCATCCACTATAAGGGATGGTTTCACTGGGCTCCTATTAAACAGTTCCAGGATCAGTGCCAAGAGCACTTGGTGATTTATATTTATGACTAAATAATCAATGTGATATAAGGTAAATGTTCCTTTTCACCGGCCTAATGGGACTACTCCTGCCTCTCATTTCACTGCACGGAATTTCCTAATGCAACATCCCATGTAAATATTTATGTGTGATGTTTGTGTGATGTGTAAACATCCATCCATCTTCCCATCCAAAACTGAGGATGGACAGCAGTCAGCACCACTTCAAGTGACAACAGTTCCTCTGCAGAGAGATAATACCATGACCATGCTACAGCAAGAGCAGCTTGCATTTTTCCCCAACTAGTTTTTACTTACATATGTTTCAGATAAAGAAGCCAACATACCTTAATTTATACTCTCCTAGTTGCAATTTTGAGCCCTCTGAAAGATTCACTATATTCATTTTTACAACCTTTGAACCATTGGAGACAGACCTCTCAGGCCACCATTGCTGCTAACGAAACACATGTTAAAAATAAACACATACTAAATCTACCTGGAATTTTACTGTATAGCTTACCAAGCACGCAACAACATGCTCACATTTTAATTTATAATGCAATAAAGCTTTCCAACATGAAGCCAAATTATTTAAGAACATTTCTGTTATCCTCCTTGGAATTCACTCGTTTCTGATGAAGGAAAGATTAAATATAGGCTGGAAAT